CTCGCCCTGTCGGGGGGGCGGCACCCCCAGGCGTGCGTGGCCCCCAGAGGCCACATGGACAGGCTTCGCACAGTGGCTCAGTGGCCACTTCCCGGAGTTTCATTTCCAAGCTCTGAGGGCGGCCTGGCTCGGGGTGCTGTGCTGAGTGGGTGCGGAAGGGCAGGCAGCCCCGGGCCTTGGCAATACTGGGAGGCTGAGGCCGCCAGAGCGAGTCCTGCTGGTCCCGCCGACCGTCCGCTGTGCACCTGGCCCCGAGCCGAGCAGGAGTGGCCGGTCCTCTTTGGAAACGAAGCGGCTGATGCTGAGTGCCGGCTGCCGAGAGAAGGGAGGGACGTTCGCTGTGGAAAACAAGCGCGCGGCGTTTGGACAGGTGCTGCCGTTAACACAAAACACGGGACCACCCAGGTGGGCCCCCCGGCCTCGGATCTGGGGCCCCTGACGGTGCACTGGGCCAGAGTCGGCAGGTGGAGGCGCCAGGAAGTCAGAGTGACAAGTGGAGGCGCCAGGATTCCAGCATCGGCAAGTGGAGGCCCCAGGGCAGCTGAGGCTCAGCCCGGCCTCCGTGAGGGCGGAGAAGAGCCGCCGGGCGGAGCCGGGGAGGCAGCTGGGTCATTGCCTCTGGGACTCTGCTCCGTCCTGGATCCTTACCCGAGAGACTCAGTTCTGGGGCCTGGAGGTCTCCCCAGGAGACAGACGGTTCTTCCCTCCTCCCCGGAGGTTGATGGGCTCCTGACCAGCAGCAGCGTTCAGATTCTGCCGTCGTCCTGTGATGGGACCAGTGACGGCGGCCCGCGGACAGTGCGGACAATGGCCCCGGAGGAGCAAGGCCACCGCCCAGCAGTGGGCACGCTGTCTGAATGTCTGGGGCCAGAGCCCACTCAAAGCCCCTAGTCTCCTCCTGGAGGCCTCGGTTGTGCCCCGGGTCCCTGGTGGGGGAGGGAGGCAGCCGGAGCAGCCAGCCCAGAGTGGCCAGCTTGCAGGGAGGGAGAGGCTGGTGCTGGTGAGGATACAGCTGGGGGCCAGGGAGTGGCAGGAACGGGCTGGCTCTGCCACACACCAGCTCTGTGACGCAAGGCTGCGGCACCTCTCAGCCTCCACTTGTCCATCTGTAAAATGGGAGGGTGGCCACCGACCTCAGTGGGGGGTTCTGAACAGGACGCTGTAAAGTGCCCGGGAAGGGCCAGCTGTCCTGTCATTATTATTTGAAGCCGAAGGCCTTTCTGCCCCAGCACCTTGCACTGGCTGCTCTGGGGACAAACACAGGAGGACAGCGGGAGAGGACTCAGCACTGGGGAGAGGGGCCCTGGGAGCTCGTCCCGGGACACAGACGCTGGGGCAGGAGGTGGGAGGAGGTTTGGGCAGAGGCCGGGCACCTTTCTCGGCCTCTGACCCTCCGGGAAGGCAACCAGGTGCCCCAGGAGACAGCACCCCCAGGAAGGGGCTCTGTTGTGCCCCCAAATCCCTCATCCCCGCGGGGGCCTGCAGGCATTTACACACCGTGCTCCACCCACCCTCCCTAATCCTCCTGTGGGGATCGCAGACCCCAGGGTGTGGGGCTGGTGCCCTTTGGGCAGGAGAGGCCCAGGGCATGCTAGGAGGGAGGGCCATCATTTAGGAAAACTCAAGGAGACACAGAGCCGCCTGGGTGGGGAGTGGTCCGGCCCCTGCGATTGGGGAGCAGGAGTGGGGATTGGGGGGTCCCCCCTCCTGTACCTGCCCCAGATTGCAGAGGGAGGGGCCACGCCCTTGGAGGGGAGTGTCTCAGGTGCAGTGTGCGGAGGGGAGATGGTGATTGGATTCCTTGCTTCTGATCTAGGCTGGAAGCTCAACCCCGTGGTGGGCGCCGTCTATGGGCCTGAATTCTATGCAGGTAAAAGGCT